GCATTGGCCTGCTAAACCCAGGGTTGTGAGTTCAATCCTTGAGGGGGCCATTTAGGGAACTGGGGTAAAAATCTGTCTGGGGATTGGTCCTGCTTTGAGCAGGGGGTTGGACTAGATGACCTCCTAAGGTCCCCTCCAAGCTGGATATTCTATGATTCCAGAGGCTACTGGGCACCTGAAAACTCTTGGGTTTTTTTCTGCAGATAAGAGAGATACAGTGCTCCTGTCAGATAATAGTTTCTAATTCCTATATAAAGAAAGAAAATTTAATAAATATTAGACCCACTCTGCTCTAATATACTAACATATTCTGACCTCTTGTGGCAAGTCGCTTAAGAGACACGGGTTAGGTTTAAAATGTTAACAGATATGCCTAGTTTGTTACTAACTCTTGAATACAACTCTTGAAACAATTGTAGAAAAACCTAGATGACTTTCTATGTGTTTTTTTAGTTGATCAAGCTCAGAATAGGTCCTTTAGCTTTTGGAAGCATCCTATTGGGGAAGACCCCGTGAGTTTATACTGCACCTGCCTGGGGCTCTAGGGGTGTTACCCCACCACAAAAAATAGGCTCGAAACTGACTTTAAACAGGCGTGAAAGTGACACTTTCAAGTCCCTTGCAGAGAATTGGCGACCCCTAATGTTCAAAAATCAAGAATCAGACTCACCAAAAATCATGAGATTGGCTTTAAAATAATGAGCTTATATAAAAAAAATAATAGATTTGGTGGGGGGGGGTTCTTTACATTCTGCTTTTTGAGCCTTTAAGCTTTCTTCGCAGCTACAAGAGTTAGAAACGTCATTGTTCCTTAAGAATGAAGGCTGAAATCATCACACATCACTTGACTCCAGGTGCCGGGGGTTTAAGGAAAACAATATTTATCATGAGACTCACAACAAACTCATGAGAGTTGGGAACACTGCTTCCACTTCTGTTGAAAGGCTAGTTCCTTTTCAGTAGTGTCTTAAACACAACACCCTTCCCGCCACGGACTTCCTATCTGATCTCAAGTCAGTGCCTTAGAGACAGAGTTTCAAAGGTTTTTAGGCACCCAAGGATGCAGCTAGGCATCTAGTGGGGTTTACAAAGCACTGAACCTTCTAGGCGCTTTTGAAAATCCCACTCGGTGCCTAAATACCTGTGAAAGTCTGACTGTGTGTGCCTCAGTGCCCATCTGTACAATGGGGATAACAGCACAGCTCTGCCTCACCCAGAGGCTGTGATGTGAGGCGCTCAGATACTGCGGTGATGGGGCCACATCAGTACCACAGGTAGTGTGGGAACTTCTCTGTGCCACTGCTAGCCCTGCCCTGGGGTTCGGGCCCTTCTTTTCACTTATGCCCCTCACACCTTCCTCTGTTCTGAATGTAGCCTGGGCTCACAGGGCTTGGCTGTATTTCCTCTGAAGTCCCTGCGTTCTCTCCTCAACCCCTCACCCACACAGGGATTCCTGTGTTACAGGTTCATCTAACCACTTCCAGATCCTTCATTTAATTACCGACCTTTCCTTCTCCTAATCACCCTGCCTGTGTTTGTGAACAAAGCACTGACTCCCTGCGCCAGGAACACAAGCTGAGAGAAACCCTTCTGTAGAACTCACAATCCACTGAAGAGCTCTGCCCGGGAGCACAGCTCCTGTATTAAACGTCGGGGGGGTGGCAGCCCCCCCCCCCCGCCCTACCTAATTGGCGCCCTTGGACAGAGAGCGTCTAATGCACTCCCTGAAGTAGACTGTGGGGTGACCTCATCTCCCGCTGCCCATAGGAGGTGCACAAAGACGGCACCTGCATCAGGGGAATTTATGGAGCTTTGGGGG